TTTCACCGGATCAGGCGGTTTCCCGCCGTACATCTTGGACCTGGGCATATATCATGTGGCTTGCGTACACGTCAACATCTCTGGATCGCCGAGTTGCGGAACAGTTTGGAAATACACTCTTCATTATTAGTCTCAATCAAGGATTAGGTAACTATGTATCTGGCATATCGTCTCTTTCTCATTATCCGCACGAGCAAGAAATGCTGTTAGCATGCGGATACCGTCTCAAAGTGGATAAAGTTGAACGTGACTCAAGGAATGCAAAATATTTAATTCATCTATCGGATCACGGCTGGTTAATGAATTAATAGTAGCTGACCGCTCGCTACTCATTGTAATAAACCTAGTATTCATTTTGCTGTTTCCGATCTATCATTCAAAAGGAAGCATCCATGAAGGACGGGTGTGGGTGTGGGTGTGACAACAATAAACACTCATCCATACCCATACCTGTACATCCACACCTACACCCTCAAAGAAATAATTTATGGCTGTGTTATGTGAAAATTTAAAGAAAACAAAAACTCTCTTATTTTGACACTATAGGACTTTGTTGAGAAAACTTTTGAACATAAGAAAAAGACAAAGCTTCAATTCTAATAAAACAAATAGTTGTATTTATCAATATAACTGAGCATGATAACATATATATTCAAGTGAACTGTATTGTATGGGTTTAGATGCAGAGAAAGTTCACACCAACACTCTCAACATTTAAAAAAAAACAATTTGAATCACGGTAAATTAAAAAGAATCTATCGAATAAAATAAATTCAGGTTAACTTAACTATTAATAACATTTGTGCTTTGATGGACAAAAAGAAGGATATTCGAAACATGTCTGTTATCGTGCATGCTTATCATAGAAATCGGCACTAATAGATTTATTTGTATATAAAGTGAGCATTAATATTCAACAAAAAGTTGATGAAATGCGTTTAATAGATACATGAAAAGATGAACGAGAATGATCTATTACAATTAAATCAATATATGATTAATTCATTCGTTTTTTGTTTAACATTAAATATTTTGAACTTTTAGAGATATTTCACATTATTATGAATTATCTGCTAAAGATTGAGAATTTATTAAACAAGCACATAAAATAGATATATCTTATTATTTAATTAATCTTATTGATTCACCAAATCATACAAGTTTTTCATGAAAAGTTACTGATGGTGCTCTTGATGTTGTTGATTGTGTTTCAGGTATTATTAAGTTAAATTTTGGAAAAAAAAACAAAGAAGTCTTTGTACAAATTGAAATTGTTCTTGGTCAACCTATTGCTGATCGTATTATATCAATATTATTCATATATAGAATACATCGTAATTTACTTGAATTATCAATTCAACAAGAAGATCTTTTTCAAACATTTCAACGTATTATTCAAAAATGTTAATGGGTTATTTCCATGGACTTTCTATCACGTTTACATCAAGTATTTTCTATTAATGTGAAAATTTAGGTGTTTGCAGAGCTCAATTAGCTGATCATTTTGACGTATTTGGATTGTAGAAAATACTTTGGCATCTATGATTCCCAGAAGTCGACTTTTTATGGTTGTTATCGTGTAAAATTTCATAGATGATTTTTAGTGTTTTGTTATCTTTTTTCTAAGCGTTTATTAGTCGCGTGTTTTCAAATCGCGCAGTTTTCTTAGAAGGCTACTTTTATTGAGCTTGAATCGTAGTGTCCGGAGCAATATTGTTATAGTAGAACGTGACTTATATTTCAATTGACAAAAAAATGCAACTTTTGGAATTTTCCAGATGACTGACATAGTGACAAAGATAGAGCGAACCTTGCTCTACAAAATGGTATACTTCGCTTTTCGGACAGATAAAGTTTATCAAAATGACAAAGGACATAAAACTGGATAAATTTCAATGTTTTCAGCCTATTTTTCGATATACAATTACTATATGGATATTTCGACATGAACTCAGCTACGCGAACAAAATTGACTACCGATTTTGATGAAAATTTCAGCGTTTGTAGAGCTTTTAATTCTAAGCATTTTGATAAAAATTTTTTCAAAAATTTTTTGTTTTGATTGAGATATACTCAAAATACTTTAAGCAATACAAATCCAAAATTCGTAAAAAGGCGTTTTTTTGCAAAACTTTCTCCAATAGTTTTTGATAGTATTGTACACTCAAACGAGCTCAAAAATAAAAACTAACACCATATTCGGATTCCTCATTGGACCATGCATCAGGTCATAATAAATTTGACTTTAGTTTAAAAATATCCAGTCCCAATTATGTCCTCATCGGTTCCTGACTGCACAAAAATCTTGTGTCCTTGGTTTTTCCAAAAGGATGTATTGCTCGATATGGTGACATAATCTATTCGATAGTGCTTTGCTCGCTCTGCAATCCTAATAGTACAGAACTATCAGCGTTTTCAATATGGCTAAAATATTGAGTCAACCTTTTGAGGAATGCTTTCACCAATACTCTTATAGGAGGGTTTGCGACATCGTCCTTGGGGAAAAACTTTTAATTTTCATTCAGTTGTCTCAAATAGAAGGTACAGCCAAACCACATCCAAATCTAAAATATTGGATCCTTTAGTGGTACCTGTGAACAATACGAGGGTGTGGGTGTGAATGAGAT